ATTTTGTAAAGCACTTCTGTTATCTCAATAAGTAGCAAAACCAGTATTCAGCTCCCTCCTCCCTCCAACTCAACTTCAAATCTTAAGCTTATTCTACTATACTGAGCTGCCTCTCTCTAATCTTTACCACTTTAAAAACATCCTCGAGCCCTTTCACATAATATTCAGTATTTCACAACTAATTTCTCCCTTCTCTTACCACTTGGTTCTCTTACTGAATTTTCACATTATACTTTGCATTGTAATTATTTATATACATTATATATATTCAAATTAAGTATTATATCATTTAAGTTTCTTAAGTCAGGGACAATATTTTCTTCTTCATATGCCTTCCAGTGTCTACACATTCCTTGGGATGTAACAGTAGATCGGTACATATTTATTTACTGAATGAATAAATGAATGCATATTAAAATTTGGTCACTATTATACACACCAATGGAATATTTCTGTGGTCTTTTAAGAAAAAATCTCAATTTCCTTCCATAGCTGTGCCTCTAAAAATCCAACTTAAACATAGTAACTTAGATGAAAAATACTTCTTGCCCGACTCCAGCAAAATCAACTTTAAAACATTCCAACACTACCAGATTTTTCCTCCTTGGAATTATATTGTATAGGCCAGGAAGAAAAGGCCTAGATGTGGAAAGCATAAAGGAACCAAAATTTGATTTAGACTCCGAGTTTCTACCTTTTATCAGACAGCATGTTTATTCGTTCTGAGCTTTTTAAAATATGAACTACTGATTAGGAAGATTTTTCTTATTTTTTTGGGTCTCTTGTGTGGCCTCCTTTTCAAGGGTTGCTTCTCAGATTTCCAGGTGATAAGCCAATTTAATGAAGATTATTCCTTTTATGTAGGCATAAACAGCCTTTCAAAGTTCTCTGCTACTCTTTTCATTCAGCTCAGAGACTATATTTCCATTGGGTTTGTTAATTTCCTCAGGTTTGCAGTTTGTCTAGGTCTGTATATAATTTCATTGGTTTAGGGAACTTCCTAATGAGGAAGCTCCCTCCACCAAAGCAGGTTGGCACCTTCTCTGAAACTTGTAGTCTTAGGTATTTGCCTAGAGCACCGAGAGGTCAAACAATTTGTTGAGGGTCACACATCCAGTATATTATGTCAAAGGTAGGATTTGAACCCAGGTCTTCCTGGCACCAAGGCTGGATGGATCTCTATCCATTATGCTATACTTCGTGAGAATGAGATAGAGAGATAGATGATTCTATAAGGGTTTGAGGTTAATCTGATTTTCTTTAATTCCTATTTTTTAGTTCATGTTTCTCTGCTTATCCAGTCATTATTACTATAATGTAACTGTACTTTTGGAACACCCAGTATTTTGTATATACTTAAATGTGTGGGAGAATAAACTGTACACTCCCTAAGTGCAGAGACATTTTAACTGTAGTCTTTGTATACCCAGAGTTTAGCATAGTGCCTAGAGTTATGTCAGTACTTAATACTCATTTATTTTTACTGTTTTTTTTTTTTTGGCTAGGCAGTAGGGTTAAGTGACTTGCCCAGGGTCACACAGCTAGTAAGTGTTATGTTAATACTCGTTTACTGACTGAATATGCAAAGCACTTTTATAATATATTAACACCTTAATTCTGTGTAGCACAATTCAATAAGCCAAAACTCTCTCCCCCCATTATAACATGTTCAGTAATACAGATTTGACAGGTCAAATCTAATTTCTGGCAGCATAACAATTTAAAAAAGTAAATCATAAATAGTAAAAGCCTAATATAACACAGTTCACAATCTCTGTTAATTTTTTTCCTCTCCAACATCAATTTTAGAAAAGAATTCCCCAGCATTTCAGGTTTTGTCTTTGCAAGAACTCTATTTCCAAATAACATTACATCCAGTGTATCCTTTTCATTTATTTCTTTTCTTTGGATATGTTTTTTGATATATTGTGATTTACACAACTTTTAAGTAGGTCTCTATGAGGCATTAAAGATCTAATTCTCATAAAGAATTCCATAAGTCTTCTATGCTCTTACTATTCTGAGTTGTATAGTAATATGAAACTGAATTGAGTCCTCATTTATAAGATGAGTTCAAATCATAGGAAGATTACTTTCTACTTGGTAAAGTTAACATGGTATAGTCTATTATTCACCTGTTTCTCTCCCTATTTTTCCCCCAGAGGGTCAATGGTGTCTGTGTGTGTGTGTGTGTGTGTGTGTGTGTGTATGTAAAAACTTTGGAAGAATAGAATTATGAATATTCCTATATTTACTGAAATATTTTACCTTTTCAGTCAACCAATCAAATAATTTACTTCTTGTATTCTTCCTCTCCCTGATTTTGAGAAGGGAATAATGATTCCCAAACTTCCCTCCTCACCAGCCCTCAGTCCCCTGGAAGCATGGGGGTGCTGCTCTTAAGAACAGAGGATTAAATCTTCAAAGTGAGCATTTACACATAGAAAATCAACAAATGCTACAAATCAGGACTTGATTTATTGTTTTGAGGATTTTCTAGATCTAAAGTTATTGAGAAAATGTTAAAAATACAGATTAAATTTAGAAGTGTGTGGCAAGTACATCCCCCACCCCCACCCCAGGGAGCCAGTTGTTAAACATTTGTTAGCACATAGCTGCCTGGAAGTCCACTTTGGTCCCAGAAGCAGCTCTAAAGGCTTGGTCTGAACAGTTGGAGAAGCTTTTCTTTTTACTTTAGTCAATAGGATGAGTGTTTAAAGTGATCTTAACCTCTCCGGCTCAGACTTCAGATGATCTTCCAAGAACGAAATTATGCTTCAGTGGCTTTGGATAGAGAGTAATTTATCAGCATAATTTCCTCTTTTCAGTTTCACAAATAATGCCTATGAATTATGCTAGTAAATGGGGTATGGAATGGTCACCGGTAGTCACTCTTGTGATGTCTCCCTTATTGTCACATGCCAGAGAAAGCCTCTAAAAAGACAGATAGTGCATTAATAGCATCCTCCACTACCTATCACTGCTGGAAGGGAGATTGCTAGTGCCATAAGTACTAAAAAGGCCCTCATACTGGCTTGACCTGAAGGACTTTTTTTTCCCCAAGAGAATGAGCAGGATATATTTCTCTCCTTCTGCAATACAAAAGTAAAATGTCTAAGAACATCCAGTGTTAGTGGGAGGAAACCTTATGGATAATTAAACATGGTTTCCAAAATTTTTTTTTTTAATATTACTACATGAACTTAGCGTCTGACCAAAGTAAAAAATTAAATTCCAGGCCACTAAACAATGACTTCAGAAATGACAGTTCCAGGCCCCCATTAATTGCGAAACAAATCTATCTGTAGAGGAGCTGAAACTTCTTTCATCACCCCTACAACACCCCAAGATTTACATTATGCCATATGACTCCCAAGAATATGATTTCTCAGCACTTTCTTCCTCTCTCTGTATGTGACTCTAGCCACTACTTCCCACACTTTTCATACGATCATTTTAAGCCAGCATCCTTTCACCATTTGGACCATGGACATACTGTGATTTACAAAATTTTTGACTAGGTCTGTCTAGTGCATTAAAGATCTAATTTGTTTAAAGAATTTTGAAACTCTCCTGTGCTCTTACTATTCTGAATTGGTTTATAGTAATGTACTGTACTTATTCCTCAGTTCTATGCTTTTTACATGAGACAGTGAGGCCGATAGGACAATCCAACGCAACACAGGAAAACGAATATTTTATCCAAGGAAAAGAGCTTTGTAGTGTCATATCCCTTTGATTTCCATAGGACCAGTAGCTAGAACAAACCTTATCCTTCCCAAACAAATATTGAAACGGTGAAACAAAAATGTACGTTGCCCAAAGCAATTACTTTATTTGAATTTAACTTCTCTGGGCTTCGTTTTTCCTCTTCTATAAAATGATGGGGTTGCACTAGATGACTTCTAAGGTTCCTTCCAAATTCTAAATCTATGATCCTATGATCCTGTGATCTCCCAGGAACTGTCAGACAGTACTGCATGGCGGCCTGTATTCAATCATTGCCGGAAAGGCAGTCATGGAAGCCAGCAGCAGCTCAGCCCTTGACTGCATACTACATAAACAAGTAAGGATTAAACCATCTAATTATACATCAAGGCAAGCCTAACAGACTTTGCAGTTCCCTCTAGAAGCTTTAATGGAGCTCAAATGATTTTTTTAAAGGAGCAGAGAACCAAACCAGATGAATGCATTTATCGCGGTTACTGGATAACTTCATACATTTTTCTGACAATATATCACGTATCACTGACGTGAAGGCTTTTTCAAGACCTGGATCCCGACCATACCGGATCTCGAGCCCCTAATCTGTTCCTGCCAGCATCTTTCTCGTGACATTGCAAGAGCTAGATCCTCCAGAGGATGGGCCTAAGTCTAAGGAGGTGGGGAAAATTAGAGGCAGGGACTGGGCCAGGTCAAGAGCAACCCTCAAGCATCTGGGAGACTGCCGGGTGAGGGGAGAGACGTCAAAGCCGAAGCAACTTTCCCAGCTTCGGTCTCTAGTCTCCCTAATTTTCTGCCTGAAGGTCTTCTCCTGTGACTTGCTGCAAACAGTTAACAAAGTCTAGCCCGAGTCTGCAGCAACTATCTCCCCACATCCAGTCCCAGGCAGCTCTCCTCCCCCACACCCGCCTCGGGGCACAGTCTCTCCAAAGTCTTCTCTCCCAAAACAAACTCCTAAGCGCGCTTGCCTCTCTCCTCTGGAGCCTCCCATCTCAAAACCCTCCAGTCCTGCTTTCCAAAGTTTTTCTCCTCTCCTTTGCGAAAGCAACAAGCAGCTCTCCGTGGGCCTGCAGCCTGTGTTGCGCAAACTTTTGCACGCAGTATCCTCTTGGCCAGTACCCGTCCCCTGAACCCCGGAGCACTCCCGCTCTGGCCGTACCATCGTGACCTCCCAGGACCGAGCTTTCCTCCCCACCTCGTCTAAGTCCCCGCGCGTTCCCTCCACGGCTCTAGCCCTTCCTCACCCCCAACCCTCCATCCCCTGTTACTTCCAGTACCGAGGCCCTGGATGAAGACGAAGCCAGTGACAGTCAGCACTGGGTGCCAGTTAAACTCCGGGGAGCCCCCATCCCAGCCGAGCCCCTCTCGATAATGAAGGACCCAGATGAGGGTGAAGATAACTGCCAGGAAGCCGAGGAGCAGCGCAGACACTAGCAGACCCAAGAAGCCCCGGTAGCCTTCCATGGTCTTCACTGTCCCATGCTCCGTGCACCCGCCTGTGCCAGTCACTGGAGCCCGGGCATCGGGCAGAGCAGAGGAAAAGACGTAGCAAGGCCTCAGCGGCTGCTGGCCACTAGACTGGGTGGCGGGGCGGGGGCAGCTTCTTCTTCTCTGGGCTGTCCCCGCCCGGGGGAGGGGCCCAGCAGCTCTTCTTCCTAGCCCTGGGATGTCCTGCCTCTTTGGGGGAAAGCTGGTAGGTGGGGTGGGCAAAGAAGAAAAGGAACTGGGCGCTTGGCCCTTAAAGAGAATTTTCTGTAATGGAAATGAGAGTCCCAGCCTCGAGGGTCTGTGTCCTCTCAGGGCGCCTGTTTCTTCAGTACCCCGAACTCCTCTCCATCACATAGACACTGTTCTAGAGTTTGATTTACTTAACATTTCTTGTTTTAGTGTAGTCTCTCCGAGCAGGAACTTGCTGGGTTTAGGTCTAGAGGTTTTTGTTTGTTTGTTTTTGCCTTCAGTCCTTCCACCGAAAGTGGTTCCAGTTTCGGAGGAGGGGGCGGGGAGAGAAGGGATGGAGAGGGAGGAAGGACGGGGAAGCCAAATGGTGCAGTAGAAGCCGAGCTAGATTTGAATTTAGAGTTTGAATCACCTTGGACACCTCTTTTAGTCTCTCTGGGCCTCATCTGAAAAATGATAGGGTTGGTCTTCAGCGCTTCTTAAACCGTGTGAGGTGGAGACACACAGTTTAAGAAGTGCTGAAGGGGTGGAGAGTGGAAAACGTTCAAGAAGCCCTGGAGATGACCTCTGTCCCTTCTGGCTCAAAGATCAAATTGCATCTGTTTGGGTGTAGTTGTATCCTAGTAAAGTTGTTTTAAAGTGGGTCCCAAAAAGAATTTTTACAACCAGTGTGTCTGAGAAGGGCCTAATTTCTAAAATATATAGAGAACTAAGTCAAATTTATAGGAATACAAGTTATTCCCCAAATTGATAAATGGCCAAAGGATATGAACAGGCAGTTTTCAGATGAAGAAATTAAAACTCTCTCTCCTCATATGAAAACATGCTTTAAATCATTATTGATTAGAGAAATGCAAATCAAACAACTCTGAAGTACCACATCACACCTATCAGACATGACAAAACAGGAAAACAATAAATGTTGGAGAAGATGTGGGAAAATTGGAACATTAATGCATTGTTGGTGGAGTTATGAACTGATCCAACCATTTTGGAGAGCAATTTAGAACTATGCCCAAAGGGCTATAAAAATGTGCATACTCTTTCACCCAGCAATAGCACTTGTAGGTCTATATCCCAAAGAGATCATTAAAATGGGGAAAAGACCCACATGTACAAAAATATTTATAGCACCTCTTTTTGTGGTGGCAAAGAATTGGAAATTGAGGGGATGCCCATCAACTAGGGAATGGCTGAATAAGTTGTGGTATATAAATGTAATGGAACACTATTGTGCTGTAAGAAATGATGAGCAGGCAGACTTCAGAAAAACCTGGAAAGACTTGTATGGACTGATGCTGAGTGAAGTGAGCAGAACCAGGAGAACATTGTACACAGTAACAGCCACATTACACAATGACTAACTTTGACAGACAGCTCTTCTCAGCAATGCAAAGATCTAAGACATCTCCAAAAGTGTCATGATGGAAAATGCTATCCACATTCAGAGAAAGAACTATGGAGTTTGAATGCAGATTGAAGCATAATACTTGTTCTATTTTTTCTTCTGTTTTGTTTGGTTTCTTCTTTCTTGTGGTTCCTCTTGTGAGTTCTAATTCTTTACAACATGACTAATGTGAAAATATGTTTAATAGGAATATATATGTAGAACTTATATCAGATTTCAGGCCATCTTGGGGAAGGAGGTAGGGAGTGAGTGGGAGAAAATTTAAAACTCAAAAGCTTTTGGATGTGATCGTTGAAAATTAAAATAAATAAATGAATTTAAACACACACATACACACAATAAAGTAGGTCCCAAGCCTTTCAGGTCTGAAGGATTTAGTTCATAAAACTCCCTGAAGTTCAATTCATACGAATAACTTAGGGTCTAACCTTACTGTATCAGCAATGAAAGACCAGTAATGTAAGTGCCTTTTTTGGGAGGCTGTCATATTAGGGCTTTAGCTTCCCAAGCAGACATATAGATTCCAGGTACTGTTTTGTTTTGGGGGGGGCAAATGGGGTTAAGTGACTTTCACAGGGTCACACAGCTAGTAAGTGTCAAGCCTTTGGTCTGAGGTCGAATTTGAACTCAGGTCCTCCTGACTTCAGGGCCGATGCTCTATCCACTGAGCCACCTAGCTGCCCCGCAGGTACTGTTTTGTGTGGTTAAGATAGATGTCTGCTCCTGTAACTTAATAGCAGTTTAGGGCCAAGGTTTAGAACTTGCCCAGGATTGCACAATGGAAAGAACACTGAATCTGTCTGTATTCAAATCCTGCTTCTGAAGCTTAATGCTGGCCTTCAGTTTCCTCAAATCTAAAATGAGGGAGGCGATTGGATTAGATGGCTTTGGAGAGCCCTTCTCAGTGGCTCTGAGTCCTCTGACTACAAAGCCTCTTTCCACTGCCCCATGCTATCTTATTTTTTTTTTCCTTAAGAAAGCTACTGTTGGGGCAGCTGGGTGGTGCAGAGGCTAGAGTACCGGCCCTGGAATCAGGAGGACCCAAATTCAAATCTGACCTCAGACACATAACACGCTCTAGTTGTGTGACCCTGGGCAAGTCACTTAACCCCATTGCCTAGCCAAAAAAAAAAAAAAACAAACCAGAAATAATTTGGGCAGCTAGGTGGCGCAGTAGAAAGAGCACTGGCTCTGAAGTCAAATAAGGAGGACCTGAGTTCAAGTTGACCTCAGACCAAACACTTGACATTTACTAGCTGTGTAACCCTGGGCAAGTCACTTAACCCCAATTGCCTAAAAAAAAAAAAGAAACAAAGAAAGCTACTCTTTATTTTACAAAGGTTAATTATATCACATTTTGCCAACATTTCATCTTTAAGGAAACTAGGTAAAAAAATCAAACACATAAAAACGTTAATGCACTAGAATAAGCAGCTATGAAACAGTTCTGAACAGTCAGAAAATGTAGACTTTCCTTTTACAGAAAATGTTAATAATAACTCTGTAACAGCAGCATCATTTATATGTGTGTGTGTGTGTGTGTGTGTGTGTGTGTATACACACACACACACACATACTTATACATATATATGTATACATAAAGCCAGTTTTGAAAACAGATCTTTTATACACAAAACATTTGATTCTGTTTTGTTCAAATAGGGTTGATATTGGCAAATTGATTTCCTCACATTATTTCAATTCCCAACATGTGCAGATGCTACTTGAAGGTTTAATTGATCAGCTGTAATCAAAAACTTTCCCAATATACTTTTAATCCACAGCATGACTGACAGTGCTTTCAGGTCTCTCATATATGGATGTGCTGTCAGGATCTGATCAATTTTCATTCTTACTCTGACTCTGGGAATATCTTCAGGAGGGCTTCCTTAGCTGTTTGGTTTCTGCTGGGCATATCTGAGGTTGAATTGTGAGGCTTGCTTGGATATTGGCTAGATTTTGTAGCATTAGGAGGTTAGGTTGCTGGGAAATCCAGTTGCTTGGAAGAACTCCCTGAATCAGGGTGTGGGTTGTCAGCTGGTACTGGGTGCCCCATGCTATCTTCTAAAAAATTCTACCCATTTCGCAGATGCCTAAGTCTGGGCATAGAAGCTGTAAAGAGACTCTGAGAATAGGTCAGAGGTGGTAAATAAGTTGTCTTAACTTTTACATTTTGTTACTGTGTTATGGATATCCTCCTTTCATTTTTATGTCTTTGCTTCTTTCCATAATAATAAAAGCCTTCAGGTTTACAAAGCACATTGTACCCAAATGAAGTAGGCCACACAAGTATAATGCAAGAATTTTGATCACCATTTTGCATGGGACAACACAGGGTCACAGATGTTAAGTCACTTGCACATACTCACATAGCTAGTTAAGTACTCAATGTCAGGGCTAGAATGCTGTTCTTCTGGTACCAAGATCAGTGCTTTTAATACTATGCCAGTTACCTCTTCTACATAGCTGGTTCTCTATTACTAGTATTAATAATTAGTAGCTTGTCAATGTCTTTCCTAAAATGTTTTGCTCAAAAATGAATATGAGAAACTACATTTTGCTGAAAATGTTGAAAGGAAGATTCTTTGTTTGGGCTTTCACTCTAATGAACAAAGCAAAACTGAGTACAAAGAGCATTAAAAGGATTTTATTTTAAGTATGTCAAGGTAGCAACACAGTGGCAGGCTGACATTGTAGATCAGCAATGGCTTTTATAGGTAACTTTAAGACAATTTAAAAAAAAAAGACAATTCAGCTAGGTTCACTTCAGCAAAAGAGGTTGGGCCCTTGAATCTCAGTTCCTCCCAAGGTAGCAAGAATGTGATAATTTGCATGTAGGGGTACACGACAAAGAGCAGGTAATACAGAAAGCTACAGACTTGGTGTCTTCCCCTCTAGAGCCTTCCTCAACAATGACTGAAAAGCAGGGCAGGGAACAATGGGATCCTGAGTCAACATAACTTTTAAGAAACGACTACCATAGAAAATTAGTTCATTTCAATACTTAATATTGGCATAGCATCTAAATACCTAAAGGAGAAGTTAAACATTTCAGTTAATGGGAGAAAGAGGTAAAACTATTATAATGAGGGACATCAATAATAACCTTTTTAGAACTGGGCAAATCTAACATAGCATTTCTTTCCCTACTCAATCATTATCTCTATAAGATATATGTGCCCAGGTGAGATATGTGTGTCCATGTGGGTCTTCTGGGTTGTCTAAATGTATAGTTACAACTTCAGGGTAACATAGATAAACATCTCTGAAATTTGGGGCCCACTCCTTTACAAGGGAGATTGGACAGGAACAAGAGAAAGGGTTTGTCTTTCTTATACTCTATCCAGATTATCAATGTCTTCCTTAAACCATGGTGAGTGCCCAGTCCTGAACATTCCAGTTATGGTCCTACCAGAGCAGGGTACAAAAGGACCATCACCCCCTTCTTCCTGGAAGTGATGCAACCCAAGGTCACATTAGCTTTTTTGTCTGCCATGTCACACTACTGACTCATATTGAGCTCGTATTGCAGTCCACCAAAACCCTAGAACTTTTCAGACAAACTACTATGTACCTATGCCTCCCCAATCTTGAACTGGGTATGAAAGACCTTTACTGCATATTACCAAATTACCTTCCAGAAGGGTTTATGTGTATGTGTGTATACACATGCGTAGGTACATAATTCATATACACATGCATGCATTATATATGTATGTGTGCATATGTACATATATGTATAGGTGTGTATACATATGCATATATATAATGTACACATATATACACACATATTATTGTAAACTTACATTTCTCTACAGAAAAAGATGGTTTCAGAGAAATCTAGGAAGCTGGAATGTATCCAGAGGACAATCGGTACAGCGAGAGGCTCAAAGACCAAGATCAGTTGAAGGAACTGGGGATATTTGACCTAGAAAGAGAATAATTAGGGGGAAAATAATGTTAGTCTTTAAAAATCTGAAGGGCTGTCATGTGTAAGAGGTTTTAGACTTGTTCTGTTTGAACCCAGAGGGCAGAACTAGAAGAATAGATGAAGTTTCTGGGAGCTAGATTTGTTTTATATAAGACCTTTTTATCTTCCTGGTTTATTAGTAGAAAGAATATCAACTGAGCGAGGTAAAGAGGTGTGGAAGTGGTGGGAAAAGAGAAAAAGAAAATCAAAACCCATGCTTTGTGGAATTAGTAACCACATTTTGTGTATACTCTTTTAACTACTGCATTCCAGAAGGGAGTTTGGGGGGTTTTTCTTCAACCCCAAGGCTCTAAGATCTTCCTGAAGAGTAATTCTTCCCTCCTTGATCTGTTTGACCACAGGTTGAAAAAATGAGGAGTAACCTCTAAGGTCCTTTCCAGCTCTAAATCTATGATCCTATGAAACTGATTTCTTTTTCATTCTTCACTCCATCTCTACCTTCACTCTGAAACATTCTCCCCCACCACTGGTAATAAATAGAATACAAGTATAATATAATCTGACTTGTATGAGATAAGTAGACTAAACAACAGAAATAGGGCTGAAGAGAAGTCTCTTCTCAGTTGCCAACTCTTTTCTCCTTATAATGTGTTGCATGAGCGAATGAGTTCAAAAGAGGGAGAAGACAAAGATGAACCACAGATTTGGTAGCTTGTCACTTTTTACAATGGGTGGTTTAGACATAGGGTTCTTCAGAAAAAGTTGAGACAAGCCATCAGTGGTCACAGAAGACAACTCTAATTTAAGTATGCTCCATGACATATAAACCAAACTAAAAAAATACTCTGGGCAGCCCCATTTGGAAGCATTATAATGTATAAAGTAGCAGGTTATGCTATTAATAACCAGTAGCCAAAAATGTTTGTAGAATTTTATTTGCCTGTCTCGTATGTTTCAGGTTTGGCTTTGTAGACACTGGATTAAGTGGTGCAATTAAAATTCTTTGTCACTTGTGTATTTTTAAAGGCTTTCATATTTACTTTCCGAACATTTCTGAGATCAGACATGCTGATTCACAGGGTCCAGGAACTATGTCTATTAATTACATGAAGGGAGCCTGTCAAACAGAATACAACTCTGAATTTTGTTTGGGAAATAGGATAGGATAGGGAGCATTCCTTTATTTGTGAAGAAGAGTTGTTCATAAGAACAGCTTAAGTAGACCTCAGTCTACATGTGGAAGGTGGACTCTGTTTATGTTGTAGAATTCTATATTTTTCAGAGAGAGAGAGAGAGAGAGAGAGAGAGAGAGAGAGAGAGAGAGAAGGAGAAGAAGAAAAAGGAGGAGAAGAAAAAGGAGAGGAGAAAGGGAAGGGAGAGGAAAGACAAACACTGAGAGACAGAGACAGAGAGAGTGCACATAAGATCAAATAGAGCTAAGACATGGCGTGAATCCAGAATTTAAGCATGTTTCTGGAAAGTCTACCTTCACTTTCCTATTCTAGATTATTGTTGAATTGCCTTCCAGCCTAGGCCTTGGGGTCTGAGAAAAAAAAATGTACATCATAAATCTGGATAGAAACCCAATGGAAGTATACTTCATTAGCCAGCCCTCATCACCAGACATATACTGGATTATATAATCCAGAAACCAGTCTGACACATTAGAAATTTTTTAAACAATTCCCTGGGCACACAATATGTCTCTTGATAATCTGACTGAGAAATACTCTATATCTTCTTAATCTCATGCTGTTGTTAAACACTGGGTTGCATCATAACTTCAAGAAATTTTTTGCTTTGGTCTCATGCTTTCCTGTTACTTAATATTTGTAGCATGCCTGTGAGCAATGAACAAAAAATCATCTTCCCTACCCTACCTGTTCCTAAGTAACCAGGTACTATTGTGAAATAGGAATAGTTTGTTTTGAGCACCACCCACCCATCCCCATCACTTTCCTTTTAGCTTAATTTTTTCTTTATTCCTGTTCAGTACCAGTATGCTACTTCCTACTTGCCCATAACCACCACTCAAGCTAGCCCTCCACAGCTCTGTGCTCCAGACTCATCCCTTTCCCTATTCCATCAAAATTTACCAGTCCTGAGTTCCATTCCTTTTCAGCAATCAGTTAGCTTTGGAAATATCTGAGAGCCCAATCCCCATAGATGTTATCAGCGGAAAATGCCTTAATGTATCACTGCTCCAGAGATATTTACAATTAGGAAAACAACAATAACTGACATTGCAAAATTTAACTCAAAGGAATGAATTTCTAAAGATGGACTTTCTGGCACTATGGCAGCTGGAGAAAGTGTTTAGAAAAGGAGGTTTCCATTAGATTTACAATCTAATGGGCAGGGACCATCTTATTGCCTCTTTTTGTAGTGTCAGAACTTAACAGTACCTGGCACATAGTAGGTGTTTAATAAATGTTCATTTATTGATTGGTACTCCACAAGTCCTGTTTCCCTTTGGTTATGTATAAAACTGGTTTTGTCTATAATAGAAAGATAAAGACAAAAATACAATTACTGTACCCTGCAAGATCCAAGCTTCAAGAAGTTGAGCAATTTCTTTTTTTTTTCTCCCGAGCCATTTTCCCTAAAGCTAAACTTGCTTTCCATATCCAATAAATAGCTAACATTGTCAAAATGAATGAAAGGAAATATCTCATTTATATAGTGCTTTATAGCTTTCAAACAAATTCTGAAGTAGAGCTAGCCTTCTTATATCCTATGAAAAGATTATTTTGATTCTAGCAGTGTTTTGTAAGTCAGAAAAATAAAACCTAGCTCTGGGGGCTGTGACAAATAGAAGTATGTATATTTCGCTCTCTGTTTAATTACACCAATTATCAACTCCTCATCGACAGTCTTGTGGAAATATTATGCAATTCAAGTTTGCATTTTTTATGGTTTTCCAGCTTGGCATTGCAAAGAATAGTTAGTATGAGGAAATAATGCTGAGAAAGAAAAGGAATCTATCAATCCAGATTCAGATTCCAGGTTTACTATGGAATTCCCTAATCAGAGCTGGACATTGTTCAACAACACTAATACTTTAATGCAGTTGTGCTTATACTGACAAACACGTGGGAGGCTTAAGTAACTTGAGATTGTGAAATCAAGCCATCTGTAGTGGAAGAGGCCAATGTAGGGAAAAATGAAAGCGCTGTGTTTCTGGAGGGTTGCATTAACGTGAGGTTGCTTCAGAAATGCATCTATTTGATATCAGATTTAGCATCAAGTCAAAAATATAGCTGACAACATTAAAAAAAATAAATTTCTATGAATATATTTTGTTCTTACATCACCTATATTCCCCAACAGATCCTCCATTCCTCCCAGAGAATCATTCCTTATAGCAAAGAATAAAAGCAATTTAAAAGAAAACCTTTTTTTCTTTTCAGCATGCACATTACTATTTTGCTAATACAGTAATAAATTATGTACATTTTTTTCTTTGGGTGGATGCCAACAGCTCATTTCTTTAATGCTTCATTTTTTAAAAATTCTACTATTACAATGTAGGGCAAATGGGATTAACTGTTCTTGTAACACTTTCACCTAATATTGATTTCTTAAAAATTCCTTTTTATTATTTACTTAATCTTCAACAAACACAAACCTTTCAATATACAAAGAATAAGAGGATTGTAGAAGAAATTAAATTTGTTAGCTGTTTTAAAGATTTCATATATATATATATATATGCGTGTATGTATGTATGTATGTATGTATATGAGACAACAAAGTTGTAACAAAATTGTTATGTGTTCCTTATTGCATTTTTTTTCCTTCTGGGTATTTTGGGCAAAGTTTTATTGATGAGTGTCCCTTCCCCCAAACTTCACTCTTTGTCTCTCTGTAACTTATTCCTATTGGATAGAAGTCCTACATTATAACAAATATATATAATCTAGCAAAGCATTAGGCATTGTCCATGCTGAGAATACAAATCTCATTTTGCATGATCTTCTGTCAAGAGGGGGAAGCTATGCTTCATTAGTCTTCTAAAATCATGATTGATCCCTGCTTTGATCAGAGTTCTGAGGTCTATGAAGGTTGTTTTCTGTCACATTGCTATTGTTGACATTTTTTAGGTTCTGGATTTTTCATTTCATACTGCATCAGTTTATAGAAATCTTCTGATCTTTATCTGAATTTCTCATATTTGCCATTTCTTATGGAATAATAATATTCCAACCCATGCCACAATTTGTTCATCCTTTTCTCAAAGGACAGATAATAAATAATTTAGGAAACCTAAATTATTTCCAGTATTTTGCTACAACAAAAAGTGTTGCTTTAAACATTCAGGTTCATATGGGTCCTTTCCCTCCATCCTTGTTCTCCATGGGTATGAACTTAAGAGTAGCATCACTGCTTCCGAATGTATATATTTTAGTGACTTTTTGGGAAGTTCCAAATTGTTTTCCAGAATACTTGGACCAGTGGACTTGGACCTTGAACACGCAACCTCCTTTTGCCCACTTCACTTGAAATATCCCTCTCTAAGGCCCACCCCCTTCTCCCATTGGTGAGTTTCTCCGGGGCCTCCATTTTGAACAGAGACCTTTACTATCCAACCTTAATTCTTCTCCTGGCTGTTTCTCACTTTTTATATTTGGATACCATTACCTTCCCTCCGCCCCACTTCTTTCTTTCCTGATTTTTGTCTCCCTTATTGTGTGTTATTTTCCTCTATTAGAATGTAATCTGCTAAAGGGCCTGTAAAGACTTTCTTTTTGCTTATATTTTGTATCTTCAAACCTTAGCACTATGTTTTGGACCAAATCACAGCTCTACTAACAATGTATTAGTGTGTCTGTCCTTTTTCTACTTGTTTTTTGCCAATCTGATGAGGGTGAGGTGGAACTTCAGAATTATTTTCAATTTCATGTAATTTTCCTCATCAACAGGATATTATGAAGGTCATAAGCCTAAAAACTACAGTCTTCTCTACCACTGTATTTTAGTCTTGCTAGATATTGGTATACAGTATGCATGTAAGTTAGTAATTTAATACAGACAAGTGGGCACCATATTAACTAAATGCATGGTTGGAGTAAGTTAAATCTGGCAACTTTGGAGTTAGAAATAATTTGCTTGTGAGACTCTTGAAAGCTAAGGATAAGTTAAAAAGTTACTCTTTAGTAACATGGTTTATTAAGATCATACATCTTTGAAATTGCTACAAAGAAGAATTTTAAACTATTTAGCTTTAGGGCTAAGTTCTAGGCTAAGAGAGAGCAGCTTAAGGACTTTTATTTTGATCTTTTGCTTTCCTTACCTTTCCGAACACTAGATTTTAACTTGCCTTTGCTAAGGAAATAGTATTCCAACTGACCTTTTTTCTTTTTTGGCAAGGCAATTGGGGTTAAGTGACTTGCCCAGGGTCACACAGCTAGTAAATGTTGAGTGTCTGGTCTGAGACTGGATTTGAACTCAGGTCTTCTTGCCTCGAGGATCAGTACTCTATCCATTGCACCACCTAACTGCTCCCCAACTGACTTTTCTAATCTCTAGTTCCAGGTGGCTATGGAAGACCAGGCAAAAGTTTTCATTCACCTTTTGCCACAAAAATAAATTCAAAATGACAGTGAATAAAACATTTTCCTTTATTGAAAAAGTAAGATATACAGTATGCAGAAGCAAATGAGCCTAGTGGCCTATGTGAAAAATGATTATTAATAACCAATATCTTGGGGAGATACAGAACCACACCCCCCTTCCACAGTCCTAACTTTAAGTGCAGGTCCCCCCCACCCCCAGGATATTACTTGTAGTGACTTTCCTGACCCAGGTCAGCTTCCACCCAAGCTAGCAAGGAATTTCATCTAAAGTAGAGAAGCCCATTGTGTTCTAATCAAACTTGGGTAGAAACAAATTCTTTTGTCTAGATGTCCCAAGGCTGGTAATGGTTTGATATAGTTGGGAGTAGTCTGGAGTAGAGATATTTTCTCTGTCCAGGGCAAAACGATGATGGAGTGACACTAATCTCAGTTGGAAGAATATGTAAACTGTGCCGTCTGACCCCAAGAGTGAGCTCCATTGCTGACTGCCA